AACATGCGTCGGGTGCATCTATGTGTGAGAACGACGATTGCGCCCATTGTTACATATTACCACAAATGTCAGATTGTGAGCAATAATTCTAGGGCCATTAATCACTGATAGCACTAAACTGTTGAGAAGTAAAAGCTTTTGAAGCGTCACCTATGGCCAATTTTTGGTGTGGTCATTTGTTTGCGATTTTGCGGGCGCGCACAATTTTAAGACCTGACATGTTTGGTGTCTATTTACCCAAATGTGACCCCTTCTTTCACATTTTACCAAAAAATTGGGGGTGATAATAAATGTTTCATAACATAACATAGGGAAAATACCACCAAAAGAAAGCTCTATGTGTCCCCCAAAAAATTGTATAAAATGCAATTCAGCACAGCGTTGCATGACGGAATAAACGTCATTTAGAGTACCCCAGTGGTTATACTGAAAAATGGCCTGGACAGGAAGGGGGTGTAAACAGCCCAGTTTTCTAGTAGTTAAAAGCTATTGTTATTTAAACCCAATAAAGAGGCCGCAGCCTTAGGTTTACCCACAATTTGGTTTGGTGTCCTTTATTTTATTTTTAAGGTGTTTTGAGTATAGAGTGTACAATCCCATGAAGTGTCCTACAGCTGAAGCCTCTTGTCATATCCCGGTCACATATCTCAGGAGGCCGTTGGAGCAGGGACACACAGTGGCCAGAGAGTGAACCCCGTGGTGCATCATGGGGAATGGCCGCAAGAACCTAGAAGAGACAGCCAGCTCCTAATGACCCTGCAAAACAGGAAAAGGGGATGAAAAAAGTGGGGTGGGGGCGTTGGCAGGTAGGGGGCAGGGGTGAACTTAATATTTAATATATCTTTTTATACTTCATTATTTCAATTGCTGCTACAACAGGGTAAAAACATGTGGAATGTCTACTCCCTATAATTAAACATTGGACGATTTCCCCTTTATTCCTGTTCTTGTGACAAATCCCAAAATGTGGGATTTTCTTTCACTTTTATTTTCAGTGATAACAGTCACCAGGACAAATATAGAGGGTGAATCTCCCCAATGGGGATACAGACAGCAATAAAAACCTGACAGGTGATCTAATCCCTCTCAAATTTAGTTTTTTTCTTACCATTTTCCATTTATGTTCTTCCTCAACTGTACTTTGTGCCAAGTAAGTGGGTAGGGTATCCATAGAAGCAATACAAACTAACCTTGGGGGTCTGATCCTTACTCCACTTTCTTGTGTAACCAGTGGTACAAAAGAGCCCCAATGCCATTGGCAAACGGCTGCTACTTTGAGAGGGAAGCTTATTTCGGGGCAACTTTCCTCATGAAGCACCCACCTGATTATATAGGGCAGAGGTCACATGTTCACATGTGCTTTAAAGCCTATCTTCAGGTAAACAAAAAAACTACCCTTGCAATGGGGCTACCCCCACGCTGCAAGGGTTAGCTGCTTGTTTCTATTTAGGGATATGGGAAAGAAGACTTTTACTTACCTGATCCCTGCTCCCCCCCCGTCAGTTAGTGCTCACCCCTCTTCCCTCTGGGCCCTGCATTAGATTTGATGATGTCAGCAGGACTCCAACCACTGGAAGAAGGGG